TTACAGGCTGTATAAACTGCGTGGCGGCTAACACCGTGATAGAAGACGCTGAGAACAAGGACCAAGACAACACCCACACGTAACCTTACCATTTTGTGTTATAACCACTCCGTATCCCTATAGTGTTGCTACGTTGGTATTAATATAACTTCGTTCAAGCTCTCCGAGTCTTCTCGCTGTTTGGTGTATACTACAAATTGGAGACCCTGCCCGGATGAAAATCCAAGGAAAACCTTCTGGCGACTCGTTCACCGAAAAGCGAAGCTGATCTGCCATCGGATGTAATGCCTGCATTAATCAGCATTCTGGGCCGTCTATCCACGAACAGCCAATCTTCAAAACCGTGTCCCCCGATCCCAATCCCGGAAAAGTTCGCAATCGGTAATAATTATAACCGATGGGAGAAGCAAACACAAATCTACCTTCGACACTTTCCACATGAGAAACACGCCGACCTGGTGTATAGCCTGCTCACTGGTGAAGCATTCGATATTGTCTCCGAATCCCGAATTCTAGATGACGAGGTAACAGAAGACACCTTTAAGAGAATCCGACAACTCTTAGACACCCCAAACTAGCGATCGAGTACCGTCAGGAGTTTCACTCCCGCCGGCAACTGGCTGACGAAAATGTCCGCGCCTACGTTCGAACTCTGCGACATTTAGCAGACCGCGTATTTCCAAACCTGTCCAGCTCCGAGCGCGATCGGCGGATCTTAGAACAACTCGTCGAGGGCACATCATCCACCAGCGCCCGAAAAGAGTTCTATCTTCAACACCCTGAAGAATTAAACGAAGCCGTTGAAAAAGTCGAACTGTTGGAGAGACGCGACGCAGCGATAGCCCGCCAGAGCGGAGTGCATTCCCCTCACACACCCTATTCTCTCCATGTTGGAACTACCCGATACGCACCACCGCGAAGTACAGCCAACTCCCGCCGACCCGGAAGCTGGACTTGGCGNCACTCCATATCCAACGAGGGCCTTGGAGCGGAACCAGAAGAGGTGAGCCCTCATCAAATATAATCACCCCAGTCTCATCCACTTCTCCCTACGCACCGCCCCTCGTCGCTCCACTGACATTCCAACATAGAACCATATCCGGCCTGATAGACATTGGCTCCTCCCACAGCCTGATCCGGGCAGACATCGCCCGGAACCTACCGGGGGGGGAACACAGCAACCACGACCACCTGGTAGCCGCAAACGGTTCCAAGATAAAGACGGAAGGAGTGTTAA